TGGCCAAGTCCTTGGCAGTAGTGTGGTTTCCGTTTTCACTCCTTTCAGAACATATGAGGGACCTGTTTACCTAATATTTTAAAAAATAAATCTTGCTGATAGGTGAAAAAAGGTACCTCATTATTGTTACTAAAGTTGTTTGCTGATGATGCTAAACATGCTTTCATATGTTTGTTAGTCATTTGTATTTTTTCCTGTTAATTGTTCACTATTTGCCTTTTTCCTTATTGGGGTTTTAAGTTGTTTTTTTTTTTAATTTTAAAGAAATGTCTCATATATTAAAAATACTGTATTTTGATATGTTTTCTAATTTATCATCTTCCATATAATTTTGCTACAGTTTTATATTTTTGTGTATGCAAATTAATAAGGATATTTTATTAACATTTTTATTCTCATTGATTTTGTCCTTAGAAATTCCATTTCTATCCTGAGAAGAGATTAATATTACTAATATTTTCTTCTAATAGTTTCATGATTTCTTTTTTACATTTTACTCTATTTCATATTTATTTTGGTATATAGTACTTGATTTTTCCCCAATAGTTACATTGGAAATCACAGAACTTTTTATTCTAATATACTGAATAATCTTATTTTTCTGTACTGACTTTAGAAACCACCTTTATTATATTGCTATATTTTATATATACCAGGATCTGTTTCTGGACTACATATTGAGTTATAAGTTTTAAAGACAGTAAAAGACATTTAAAAGGCTATTTTTGTATGTATTTTAATATTTGAAGGACAACTCATACTCCCTTAATACTGTCCTTTTTTGCATGTAACATGCCCACATAAATAATGTGCTCACACATTTAATGTGCATAGTGTGCATGGAAAACTAATGTGTGAGGGAGTTGCACGGTTTGCAAAAAGCTGTAACATGTATTATGTGTGTAAAAAATATGATATTCTTCTTTCTTATCATTTTCTTAGATATTGTTCTTCCACTTGAATTTTGGAATTATTTCAAATTCCCATGGAAAAAATCCTGTCAGGATTTTAAATGAAAATTCATTAAGTTCTATAAATTAATTTGAAAAGAATTCACATTGTTATCATATTTTATCATACACAGAAATATATCTTCACTTATCAGTCCTATTTTGTCTCTCAGTATAAAGGTTTATATTTTACTTATAGGTCCCAAAACATTTAAGACATTATAAAATTTTTATAGGTTAGGCAGTCTACTTTGGTAGAGACAACTGCCTCAGATACCTAAGGAGGGGTTGCTGTGAGTCAGGATCAACTCAACGGCAGTGAGTATTATGAAGAGAATAAGGAGCTCTGGTGGAGTAGTGGGTAAGGCATTTGACTGCTAACCAGAAAGTCAGCAGTTCAAACCCAGCAGCTGGTCCCCAGGAGGAAGTTGAGGCAAGCTACTTCCATAAAGATTTACAGCCTTGGAAACCCAGTGGGGTTGCTGTGAGTCTGAATCAACTCAATGGCAGACGGTTTGGTTTTGGGGTTTGGTGGTGTAGTGGTTAAGGCATTTGACTGCTACCAGAAGGTTGGTGGTTCAAACCCACCAGCTGCTCCACATACAGAAGAGGAGGCAATCTACTTCCATAAAAATTTACAGCCTTGGAAACCCAATGCAGGTCACTAGGTTGGAATTGACTAGATGGCAGTGAGTTTGGTTTGGTTTGGTATTATGAAGCTGATAGTTATGCTGTTAGTGTTTTAACTAGTTGTAATAGGTACACAGATAAAAGCTATTTATTTTTATAAGTTTATTTTGTACACAGGCACTTATTAACCTAGGTAGTTTTTTAGTTTATTCTTTTGGGTTTTCTAGGTCAATAGACATATGATCTTATAAGTAATGATATCTTTGCTTCCTTCCTAATGACTATATATTTTTTATTTCTGTTCACATCCTTGAATGTAATGATTTCTTAGTTTACTTTAGAAAGTATATAATGAGCATCAGATTTAAATTGTTCTTAAATGTGCAGTTTTTTATTTTTTAAATGAATGTATCCTTGTAAAGTTATCCCAGTTCTCAGTCTAGCAACAGATTGGTGAAGTAGATGAGTTAGGATGACACCCTACCTTCCGCCACCTCTATACCATTCTGAGGCTTTAGGAAAAAGAAGGAATTGGAAAAGATGGTTAAGATACTGCAAAGTAAGGTAACAGAGGAAAAACATAAAAGCTGTCAAAAGAAAATTAGAGATGACCTCCAGTAAGATGGCAGAATAGGCAAACAAGCTACATAGACCCTCTTTAACAAAGATGATACAGATACAGAAGATAATCCTGGAGCCCTGAGTTTTGAAAGGAAAGATACAGAAGTGAATTAAACACCAACTGTAGAAGAACCTGAATGAAAACAGTGAGTAAGGAGACAAACAGAACTGTGGACCATAATCTATCCTGATGGCATGGACAGCCTGAATATTTCCAAGTGGTGTTAGGACCTGAGAATTAACCTAATAATTGGTCCTGCTCACCAAGGGCTGCATGGATAGCTGTGCCGGTGACTGATGACTAAAAAGGGAAACAGCAAAGAAGGAGACAAACTGAGCTGTGAACTTTGGGCTGTCCAGAGCCTGCAGCTATTTTTAATGTTTACAAGAGGCGGCTGGGTGCAGCCATTTTGAATGTTTACAAGTGGTGGCCATTTTGGATATTTAAAGTGACAGCATTCTCATTCAGATTCCAGGGACCTAAGAATAGGCTCTGCTTGCCAAAGACAGCACAGACATTTGGGAGGTCAACAACTGGAAAGGAGACAGGTGGTGAGTGCATAAGTGCTGCCAACTAGCAAATAGAGGAGCACAGTACCCTGCATGCTCAGATTCATCCAAGCAAAACAAAGAAAATTAAAATCTTGGGTGAATCACCAATTAAATATAAACACAAAAACGTCACAGCATCTCAGAGGCAGTAGACCATCACAGTCTACACAAAGAAGTAAGATAAAGCAGTAGAAACAAAGGACCAGGATACAGACCCAGAACACATCCCTGAGGAAGCAGCATTGGGACTCCCTGATAAGGAATTCAAAAGAATTATATTTAGGTACCTTCAACGGATTGAGAGACAGATCAAGGAAAACACAGAAAAAATTGAGGGAAACACAGACAAACCCCTAAAACAATTGTGAAAGACAATACAAGAACAAAATGACAAATGAAAAATTAGAAATGATACAAAATCTACAGATAGAAATCCAGAAAATTAATACTAAATTTTCAGAAATAGATACCATTATTGAATGGGCAAAGGAGTAGAACTGAATCAATGGAAGACAGAATGAGTGAGATTGAAGACAAATACTGTAACACTTCTTTGGAAAGGGATCAATCAGAAAAAAGATCAAAATGAAGAAAGCCTAAGGTTCACGTAGGAGACCATCAAAAGGAATAACCTATGTGAAAACCGGGCTATCTGCTTCTGTAGATACTGCCTCAGAAACCCAAGGAGGGGTTTCTATGGGTCGGGTTTGGCTTGACAGCAATGAGTTTGTTTATTTGTTTTTAATCAGAATTCCAGAATAGGAAGAGACAAATAAAACAATAGAGAAAATTGTTGAAGATCTGTTGCAGTACAATTTTCCTGATATGATGAAAGATGAGAATATATCCATTCAGGAAGTCCAATGAACCCCAAACAGGATAGATACCAAAAGAAAATCACCAATACACATCATCATCAAACTCACCACAAACAAAGAAAAGGAGAATTAGATTACCCTTCTTCTCATCTTACTGATTCAACTAAAAGGACTCCAAGTAAATACGTGAATGGATAATGTAGTAAGACCTAGTACATGACGTTTACTAAACATTGGCTGTGTGTCAGGCACTGTGCTAAATGATTCACATGCATTAGATCTTTACCCCCTCTTGAAAGAATTTCATATTTTGTAATGAAGGTCATAATGAGATTTTTGGATATTAACTTAGTTATGTGTATTTAAAATACTCTGCTAGTTGAAAAAATTTATTTCATCACTGTTTCAGAAGAACAGCGCTTGTACAAATGAGTCACACCAATAATAACAAACCACTGCAGACAGATAATAGACCTCTTGAAACTTTCTCTCATCTCTGGAGCTCTTTGCCTTTTCATAAGTGTCTGTGGCACTTACAGGAATACCACAGCATTTTGCATGTAATTATATGGTGCCTCCCATTGTCTATTATTCTGATTAATGTTTTGTCTTTGTCTAAATAGAGTCTAAGCTCCAGAGTATTATATATTTCTTTTATATCCCCACAAGCCTGAACCCAGTGCTAGTTGCAAACTAGGTATTTAATAAATGATTGTGAAATAAATGAGTTAATAAATGAATTAGCAGACTTTAAACTGCCTTTGTCTACTTAATGATTCTGAGGAGCAGTGATTGATGTATGTGCAGTATAAAGAATTTTCAAAAGACAGTTTTTTTTGTTGTCATTGCTGTTGCTTTTGTTTAATCTTAAGCTGCAGGTCTCAAACTTTTTGGTCTCAGGACTCCTTTACACTCATAAAAAATGAGTATCCCCAATGAGCTTTTGTTGATGTGGGTTAAAGATTTAACATTTTAAAACCCAAGAATATTCCAATAGCCTTAATAGCAGTGACATCAGCACATGTCATGTACTGGATGACACAGCTCTGGAATTCTCTACTGTACACTTGTGAGAAAATAAAAGTGAAAAGGTAAATAATTATTATTATGAACATAGTTCTAAACTCACAGAACCTTCTCTGGAGGTCTTAGAAAATCAATTTTCTAAAGAACTCCACCGGATTACTAGCTTAGGCACAGTGGGGGTAGCCATTAATTTAAGAATAAAACTGTTTTTACTTTTATATTTAATCATGAGTATTATGAGATAGATGGTTCTAATTATTTAGCAAATACAAATTAACTCAATTTATAGTTAATGTTAAACAATGGTTAACATTTTTTCAAAATTATTGAAATTACCTTCCTTTAAAAAGCATTTGTAAACTATGTTCATTATACACTTAGAGTTGGTTCTCTTATATTGCAGTTCCTCAGTTTGAAACTTCGTGTAGTTATGTGGAAGCTACACTTGAAGAATTTCTGATCTGGAACTGTGGCCAGTCTAGTGGTTCTGGACCATTTCAAGATTATGATCATTCCCAGTTCTGGGCTTATGCTGACTATAAATACTTTGTCAGTCTCTTTGAAAACAAGACGGATATTTTCCAGGTAAGTCAATATGTTACTTTTAAACTTGGTAATAATTTACTCTTGAAAAAAGTCTACAAATTAGACTTCCTATGGTACTTTTTTTATTTCCTTGTCTTTTTCTCTAATAAATATCACTAAAAATTTTAAGTATTTTTCCCATGAAGCCAAAAGATTTGTGCTCACTCAAGATAACATATTGCTCACACACATGAGCAGCCTTCTCACCAACATTTCCCTACTCACCAAACCTCCTACATTCATTCACTCCTTTGCCAGTGTCTGACCTGATTCGTAGTATATGAGAAGCATGGGTTGTGCATAAAATTTCATTTCCTCCTGACCTACATACAAGTTCTTGTTTTATCAGTGAGGCAGATAGAGGTACAAATCTGATTACAAGAAGAGGCATTCCTAGGGCTGTGACCCAGAACACTGCTGTCACCTCTCCCTGCTTCTGGGGATTTAGTACAAATCTTTTCTCTATCGCTTTATGGCTGAGGTGGAGTGTTGTTGTTGTTGTTGTTGTTGTTATGTGCCGTCGAGTCCGACCTGACTCATAGCGACCCCTCTTTGGATTTCTGAGGCAGTATCACTGCGGAAGTAGATTGCCCAACCTTCCTTCCGAGGAGTGGCTGGTGGGTTTGAACCGCCAGCCTTCTGGTTAGCAGTCAAGTACCTTAGGCACTATGCTACCAGAGGTCCCAGGTGGAGTGTTGGGCTCCTGGTATTTGGGAATGGAAGCCCCATAGAAGTGTGAGAGTGCCTTGCACAATGTGAAGTTCTTTGCCTGTGTTGATAAAACTGACAGCTGAGTATGCAGACTGCCATATTCTTTTCTAAGTGTTTTCTACCTCAAACTGCCAGTTTATTTTGTAGGATGATTTTACAGAACTCGCTGCTCTGGTTTCCTGGTGTGCTTTAGACCTGAGGCACGAATGGGAATGTCACAGGAACTTGTTTGGATGACTGCCTGGCTCACAATCGGGCCAAGGCTCCAGAGTCCTTGTGGAGAGAAGTATGTCTCCATCACTGCAGGCTACTCTCCCTTTGCTCCTCTCCTTCCTGTCACCACCAGTCTTCCTGGACTTTCTTCTCACGTGGGCTGATACTCCTTTGACTCCTGAAGTTTTCCATTCAGCCTGTATTTTTCTTTTGCATTTTAAGTACTTGGTAGATGCTGATGTTTTCGTAGTTATTGTAATACAACTACCAATACTTTGTGGCATTCCTCTTCTATTTAATTTTTTAAATATTTACTTCAGTAATTAATGTTGCTTTTTATAAAAGAGGAAGAATACATTCCCTTTGTCTATTGGCTTTGAAAACATTCAATAAGTGCTTTCTAAATCCAAAGTCCATACTAAATCTGTATGCTCATTTTTAAATGATAATTTTAAGATAGGCTTATCCGTTTTTCTTTTACTCTTAGTTGTGATTGCTTTATGGATCTTCAGCTCTGGAGTTTGTAGATTTCATGGTTACGTTTTAGAGATGTTTACTGTATTTCTCATAATCTTCCCGCTATGATCTAATAGTACTTTTTAAGTCTATATTTCAGGTAAAAAAATTCTGTAATAAAAGTATTTATCAAGTACTTATACTTGACACTTTCCTAAATGCTTTACATTTCTATTCAGTCATTTAATCCTCACATTAACCCTATAATTTAATAACACTCCCATTTTATGGATAGGGAAAATGAAACACAAAGAGGTTAAGTAAATCTTGTCCAACATTGTACAACTAAGGAAGAGATAACCCAGAGCTTTAACTGCACTATGTATCTACAGAGGGTTTAAATACATTCAGTTCTGCGGGAGCTCTGTAGGTTGAGTCAAGAACTTCCATCAATGCTGTGTCTGGGTTTACATTGCCTTGGATGAAAATCATGATCTGACCATCGGTTGTTCTCTCCCAGCCCAGTCATAAGAGCACTGGGTAGACATGTCCATTAAGTGTGAGTATAGAAGACAGCCTTTTGGCAGTGTGCCCCCAGAATTTTGATAGAGTCTTTTTTTTTTTTTTTTT